ATCCAAAATATATTACAACACACAGCTACCTACAGTAGAAAAAGTACCCCTTGTTCACACAAGTTAAGGGTACATCATGTCATGATTGTAACCCTGGGAGCCAGCATAAGGAGACTTGTGCTCATGAGCAAGCACAAAGAAAAATGGGCCAAGTACTTTCTTGGGAGAATAGTATCACTGAGGATGAGACAAAATAATTAATGCTTATAGTGACTGTAGCTGCAAAGGATAGCCAGCTAAAGCTTAAAGTTACTTTAGTTCATGAAAATTTTATTTCTTTTAGTGCCCATTCATGCTTTGCATCGAGTATTCCTCAGGGAACAACTTCCTGAACTAGTTAGAGTAGGTGGCCATGGGCAGAATTATTTATTTTATGTCTAAATATTGGATTTCCTCTGAAGTTTTTTTTTATTTTAATTTGGGGACATTTTCATTTACTTCTTTGTTACTGTGATAAAACAGTGACCAGAAGCTGCTTGGGGAGAAAATGGTTTATTTGGATTACAAGTTACAGTCTGATGCCAAAGGAAGGAACTTGAGTAAAAATAATGGAGAACAATGCTTGAAGTTGGGTAGTTTCTGTAGCTTTCAGAAGCATTTCAAATAACAGAAAGTGTAGGAATTTCCAAATTAAAATACAGAGTATTTTCCAATTTAAAGCCTTTCTCTGGGCAAGTCTGTATTCAGAATTTAGAAGCTCCTACCCTGCCTTGACATGAGCACATACAACTCATTTTCCCCCCTGCCACAGCCCCAGCAATACCACCAGGTTCAGGTCTTTAGAGGGATAAGGGGAGTTGGCACAAAGGAAAAAGTGTCCAACCACTAGGTGAGTTTTATACAAGTGGATGGACCCAAATGTCTCAAGCAGTCTTTATTTGCATTTCAAAAACAAGCATGTTTTTCCCCAACCCCCCCAGCATGAACCTCCATAAAAAGCAAATTTTCCCCCAACTTTTACATCAAAACAACTTTTAAGTCAAAAACAATGCTCACTGTTTTGTTAGCTTGGCTAAATATAGAACCAGCCATATCCTCTCTTTACAGAGCTAAAAGGTGATGAACGTAAGACATGTTCTCAAGAACAACCATATCTTTCAAAACTTAAAGCGTATTTGCAGAAATAGGGGCAATTTGCTACAAACTGCTTGCGTACAGTTAGCTTGTATTTCTCCAACTGTTCCCTTGTCCTACAAAAAGGTCCTGCATGCCTAATCTTCTCTATAGAGGGTGAAATTTGATAAAAAACACTTTTTCCCATCTTAATATATTTTCCTAGAATTAGGAGACAGAGTTAATATCCTCTGTGTTGCTTTCCTATATGTGCCTAAAAAGTTGTTTTTTGCCTCCAATCCTGTCAGCACTGATCAGAAAAATTCCCAGAATCTGGGGTGAGAGCTGGTATATCTACATAAGAAACCTGAGAAAAATCAATTCCAAAAGAATTTTAGAGGAAAATATTTGAGAAAATAATGGGCTTTCCAGGAATGATCACATCTGTCCCATGCATGAATGTCAAAGTGACACTGAAAACCACCAAGAGAATTGTCAATATTATGAGAGAGAAGAGAGCATGCAGGCTCTGCAGTCCCAGCACTATTCTGTGCTGTCCCTAGGTCCACTGATCTTTGCCAAATGAGAGACTGTCTCCACAGGCTTTGCCTTGTGGAGACCTGCTGGACAAGCATTCACATGCTAATGCGAAACTAAGCCACAGGGCTCCCAACACTCTCCTTTCCATCTTCCCTTTCCTCTCTTCTTTTTCTTAAATCTACATTAAAACATCTTATTGGGCCTTAAATTTACTTCAAGGAGGAGGAAGAATGAATGGAAGGAAGGAAGGAAGGAAGGAAGAAAAGAAGGAAGGAAGGAAGAAAGAAAAGAAGGAAGGAAGGAAGGAAGGAAGGAAGGAAGGAAGGAAGGAAGGAAGGAAGGAAGGAAGGAAGGAAGGAAGGAAGAAAAGCTCTGCTACTTTGGTTTCCAATCCATGCTCTCTCCTATGTTTGGCTGACTGACTGTGCTTGGCGAATGTGTCTCACCCAATATTATATCATGTGTATATTTTTAAGAATTTATTTTTTATTTTGATTTATGTGCATGTGTTTGGGTACATACCAATTAGGTAGGTGCCAACAGAGACCAGAACAGGGCATTTGTTCCCCTGGAGGTAGAATTAGAAGAGGTTTAGGGCTGCATGATGTGGGAGCTAAGAACCAAACTGCTCTTCTGAAAGAGCAGGGCAGGCTCTGACCTGCTGAGTCATCTCTCCAGGACCCGCTTTCGATTCTTGCCTCTCATTTCTGCTCAGTAGAGTGTCAGATTTAGTGAATCTTCTGAGTCAAGAATGAAACAGGGGCAAGGAGCATCATATGATAGGTCAACTGGACTTGGATGTTGTATCTTTATGTGGGATGTTGGGTGATTTTTATGCGATGCTTTGGGGTTTCCTCTGACAGCGTCGACTTCTTATACTATAAGTAATAAATGTAATAATTTTTGTGGAGATTTGAGCTTATTTCAGGGCACATATTACTGAAAGCATCTAACTACATGTTAAATGACTTCATCAAATAGTCTATCAGGAGGCAGACACTAACATCATGAATGACCAGATGATTGTTATACATATTTCAGCTATGACTAGGACAGTTCAGATTCTGCCCCCCCCCCCCCTGCCTCTTCACTGCACTTTTTTGTCTTAGAGTTTGCAAGGGAACAATTTTGTTCACTGGTCATATTCTTTCAACTTTGGGAATGTACATAAATATTCGAAGTACATCTCTTAGAGAGCCCCCTCACTTTCAAGGAGACAAAAGGAGAAAGAGAATATAAACGTGACAACAAACCTTTCCACCAAATTCCTCATTACTGGCATCCAAAGTTTGGTCACATTTCCTCAAGTATTTATTAAAGAATAATGTGAATGTTGGGCTAAGTCTTCAGTAGGCATGTTTGGAAATCCATTACAATTGTTCTTCACACTGTCTCAATCAGTGCTGTTTAGGAGAACTTTCTTGAATGAAGACAATATCCAAAATCCACATTGTTAGTTATGAAGGCCAGCCATATTCAGTTGTTGAAAGTCTTTAGAAATGGTTGATGTAACAGGAAAAAAATTTACTTGTGCTTAAATTAAATTATTTTATATTTGAAATCATATAGACACATGTAACTAGGGACAACTGTAAAAAGTTGTACATCTCTAAAAGACCTTTCAGTCTTCCTTATGTGCTATGGCAACTGCCTTTAAACTGGAAGGAAAATTTACATCTGTCATGTTATATAGACATTTGGGGAAATGCTTGAAACTATCACAACAGAGTACATAGTAAACTATGTATTTGGAAGCAAAAAATTTCATTACATATATCAAATATCAATTGCATTGATCACACAATGCTTCCATTCAATTAGAATAAATTAACTTTAACAATGTTGCAAAATTCAAATACATTTAGATGTAATCATGTTAAGATGATATTAATGGTAAAAAATAAAGCATTATATGAATTCTGTATGAGAAGTATGCTCTGAATTATACTCAGAATAATAGGAAAACAAACAAGAGCTCCATCCCACTCTCAGCACCTAAGACTAAGTTGAAACAGAGCACAAAAGCTTATTTTAACTATCTATGACAATTTTACCGTGCTGTTGTGAAATTACTTATTGTTTTCACATAGTATAGCAGCAATACCTATAAAATGAGATGTGAATTTCAGTTTGGCTGTGGAGTGTGGCAGAAAGAATAAATTTGACATAACAGAGTTTGGCTTGAATCCCAATTTCTATGTACTAACTGTCAAATTACACACAAGCCATTAACCTCTCTGAACTTTCTCTGAAAAAAAAAAAAAAAACAAACAAGCCTAATTAAAATAACCTTAAGAGACCATATTAAAGATGTGCTACCATGCTTTCTATAGTTCTTGGTTTAAGACCAACTCTCAATATTTAAGAGCTCTTGCTAGGTATTTATTTCATAGCTAGTTCCCCACTACATATTTTAAAATGTGCTCATCATGAATCCTGAAAAAAAAATAGACAAAGACATTCAGTTTTAAGTCTAGTAGTTTGAACAAATCACAGTAATTAAAATGAGTATAAAGCATCAACATGGGAAAGCATTGATCTCCCAGCATGCTTGCAAAAGTCCAGCCCTTCAATGTGAATGGGCTTTTGCAACAGCACTTTGGTTTGTTTGCTCTACTGGCTGCTCGGCCATGCTTTGTCCTCTTATTATCATGGGAAGTCATTTTTGTTTGAAATCCTTATCATTGCTTTAAGCCCGTCTGCAACTGGAACTGTTTAGGTATTTAATACTATGTCTAATTGCTTATCATTTATGACCAAAGTCTACTCAGTTAAGTTTCTTCCTAGTGACACACAGGTTTTAGAGCAGAAGTTATTGGCTTTTACTTTTTTAGCATGGATTATTTTAATTATTAATATAAATAGTTAAATATTTATAAATGTAGATCAATAGTATAAAATAATGTTTTCATCTTAATATTTTTATACTTCTCTATAATTTGTTATATTCACCTCACCATGATGACCTCCATCATCCCCTCTATGCCCTGTCTGGTCCCCTTCATTTTCTTCATCTGGTCCCCTTCTCAAATATTTCTTGTTCTTTATTTTTATGTGAATTGTTTTTTTCTAACTATTTTAGTTGAGAATGTTAACTTTGAGGATAGGAACAAAATTCACAAGCTGAAAATAATTCATTCTCTGAAGTAAACAAATCATTGGAGCAACATCAATGAACTGGCATTAAACTGGCCTACAATATGGAATTTAAAATGCCTCAGGATTTTGTGTTTGTCACTTTTGATCATATAGTGACATTTTGTTTCATATAGTGAATTACATGATCTCATAGTAATCCAGGAAATTATTCTATCAGGTCTGTATTCTCAGAAGAAAGGGTCATGTATTCAGTTCCAAATACTGGAGAAATACCTATTGATCATTGTTTGTATCTATTGTCACTTAACCTGAAGCAGTGAGAAAGTGGAATTGACCAGGCTTGAGTTAACCTGAGCCACACCAGGAGGAGAATGGTGTCATCACTGGACAAAGGAAAAGGAGGAAGGTAAGGGTACAGCCAGAATGTACTATAGACAATGTGGACACCCTACCAATTGAGAACTTTTATTTTAATGCATCCATTTTCCCATATTGGACAACATGTGGTCATTTCATCTAATCCTCTAGTCTGTCATGGTATTCAGTTCATTATTTTGAAAATCAAGCACATTTTGCAGGTAAATGTTTCTAATGATCTTCCTTCCATTTTCATTATTCTATCTCCACATCAAGAAGTGCATTGGTGTGCTTTTAGTAGATATAAAAATTAAGAATCTGTAAAGGAGTCATTAGGAATTAATTTAGGGAGTGGACATAGTCAGATATAGATGAACTGAAAGTAGATAAAGAGAATACTGGGGGTGGAGATATTCAAGTGAGTAGAAGTGTAATGGGGATTGGGAAAGGAGGAGCCAAAAGAAGGCTTCATCTAAGTTTATATATATATATATAAATGTGTGTGTGTGTGTGTGTGTGTGTGTGTGTGTGTGTGTGTGTGTGTGTGTTTGTGTGTGTGACATAGATATGCCAAAGGGGCTCCAGAGGCACTAAAATAATACATTGCTTTTAGCATTGTTCTTGGTTGTTCATCATAACCAGGCAGTAAAACCCGCTGAAGATACCACATCCTTTGGTTATAGAACACAGAAAAAATCAGTTTTGAACTGACCAGGAAACTCTCCCTGCTGATGAGCTTTCACAGGGATGGAAAGTGGTGTAGGCTGCTAGGTAAACACAAGCATCAGTAGTCATATTTAGCACTAGATCCTATGTGCTACCAAGCTGCCAGGCAAAATGTGCAAAGTCTTACCCAATAGTGGTAAGACTTCATTGGGGTAACCAATCAGTCTCTTGACTGATTATGAAAAATATTCCATAGGCAGAAATTCATGCCTGGTACTGTAAATATTGTTAAATGCCTTGGCTCAGTAAATCACGCCCTAGAGCAGAACCTATTAATGCTGCTTTTCTAAGTGGTTTGGTGAAAAACCCACTTCTTAGTATTTATGTTTTTACCTATAAATTTATGTTGCTCCAAATCTTGTTCTGAGAAGCTTCTTATTGCACAGGGTAGTGGTTAGTAGAAAGATGCATTACTCTTAACATTATTGAGGATAAATATGAGTGCTTGGCTACCCATGGAATGTCTACATCGATACTGCCTCTACATACAAGGTTCAAAGAACAACCCAGGAGAAGAGGTGGAAAGAGTGTAAGGGCCAGGGGGAGAGAAGGAGTGGGGTTAAATTCTGTTCTCTTGATATGATCCAGTTGCTGCAGAAATGAATTCACATCATCAGTCATGGTTACCTATACAAGACCTTCACAAGATTAAAACATACAAAAATTCCAGAATGGAAAGGTAAGAATTTTTTAAGTCTATTCTTGGTTGAGGAGCTATTGGCATTGGATGGCTGTTGGGAGACGTAGACTTTAAAAATGTGTCCCCTGGTGGAATTTGTTATGCTTCAGTGGATGATCTGATGTGCATGTGCATATGTGCAGCCCTAAGTGGACTTAGTTGGTTAAAAATTAGTTGGTTAATTAAAAATTAGAAAAGGAAGATATGAAGTTTGGAGGAAGATGTGGTGAGAGGTCCTGGGGAGAGTTGGAAGGAGAAGGAAAGGGTAGATATGATGAAGATACATTTATACATGCATTAAATTTCCAAGGAGAAATTTAAATTTTTTATTTTTATTTTGCAATACAATTCAGTTCTACATATCAGCCACGGATTCCCTTGTTCTCCCCCCTCCCGCCCCCCTCATCTTCCCCCCAGCCCACCCCCCATTCCCACCTCCTCCAGGACAAAGCCTCTCCCGCGGACTGAGATCAACCTGGTAGACTCAGTCCAGGTAGGTCCAGTCCCCTCCTCCCAGGCTGAGCCAAGCAAGCTGATTGGGAGTTCGGTAATAGGAAGCTCCACTATTGGGAGATGAGCTATAAAGCAGTCTTTGTAGTTATTACTTTGAGGGAACCCTAATGTTAGGGTCAGTATCTCTCTTTCTCAGTGAGCCAAAGTGGAATAGAACCTGGTTTCTGTTGGTTGAGAGACTGAAGAGGCAGCAATGGAACTTTCAGTAAGATGATTCATATTTGGTCCTCCTGTTTCCCATCCTTTGCCCATAAGCATTTTCCTAGGACTTTTGTCTCAGATGTTGGGACTGCCCTGGGGCTAGTTCTTTGGACTGCTCTGTTTCATGTCTCACACAGAATGAACCTCCAGTGTCGTCCAGCAACAGAGTACGAATGCCATTTTCAGTGTGGAAAATGAAAAGGCCAGAGTCACATAACTACTGATACTCTCTGAAGACTTGTGGTTTGATACCCCTCGTTCAATGTTGACTTTCGTATCTACTATTAATTGGGTTTCAAAGTTCTCTGCTATGGAGAGCTAGACAGACTGTCAGAAGACAGGGTTTCCTGCAAATGGAGTTTTCAGAGATTCCTCCTTGACATCCTCAACTAGAGGGAAATATAGTCAGTGTAATCTCAGAAAAAAAAAAGACAGCAAATGATCTGAACAAGTTAAATAACTATATTTCCACCAATTTTCCTTTTCAAAATTAGGTTTCCAACACTCTGTGGGAATGCCTCACATTTACTTACACTGTTTGGTACATTTTTAAAAATTCATTTAATTTCTAAGGGTTTTGAAAAAAGAAGACACACTATATTATTAAATAGCCCAGGTAAGCCTATGAACCTCAGTATTCTCACTTAAAAACTGACAATTGCCGGGCGGTGGTGGCGCACGCCTTTAATCCCAGCACTCGGGAGGCAGAGCCAGGCGGATCTCTGTGAGTTCGAGGCCAGCCTAGGCTACCAAGTGAGTTCCAGGAGAGGCGCAAAGCTACACAGAGAAACCCTGTCTCGAAAAACCAAAAAAAAAAAAAAAAAAAAAAAAAAAAAAAAAAAAAACCTGACAATTATCAAGTCTACTTTTTGAGCTGTTTGCAATGACTGAAAGCTAAATATCTACAAAAAAAAATTTCCACTGTGCCTATAACTACAGTAAGATTGGTCTTAAGGAATGTTATACCTTAAGAAATTCAAGAATTTCAGCTCTTCTTGGTTATAGCAAATAACAATACTGCAGTAAGCAGTTATTACTTTGATTGTTGTTGCAGTGGTAAATAGCTCTCCCCGGTACCAGAGCTAATCTAGGTATTTTAGTACCAGTGTGGATTTGTGAAGTTGAAGTCACTCATTCCTCACAGTTCTTATGTCAGATAGATGCTTTTATATCTCCCACTGAAATAAGGAAACCCACACACAGAGGTGCAGACGCTTCCTTAGTGTGGTCAGTGAAGTGGCAAAACCAGACTTTGAGTCTAAGCCATTTGGCTCCAGTGTCTGGATAACTTGGGTCACAGATAGACTTCACTCATTTGTAACATAGCAACAGCTGTCACAGTTACTATGGGTTTTTTTTATGAGGATTGTGTGAGAAATTATGTTATAGAAAACCTGCTGAGGACCAAGTAAAGTTAACTATTATTTTCAAGCATTAAACTTGAATCCTTCTAAAATCTACATATATTGTTTGCTTAAAATCTCCAAAGAATTGTTTTTATAATCTCTATTTCACTTAAAGTTTGCAAAACATTTTCTCACTTGAACTAATTGAAAAAAAGTGAATAGCAGACAAATTTCTTTACATGGAGTCTTACTATTTTTAATCCACATAATATAATATGTAGCTAAAACTGAAATGTTTGGATTTCAGTGAAATGTAAATTAGCGTGATGAATTTTTTCTTATGTTATATCTTACATATGCAGAATCATCCAAATATCCTTTGTCATGTATTTGTGAACACATAACAATGTCTGAATTTACATACTGATCTTGAATCACAGTGTCCAAACCTTATTAGAAATAAAAATAATGATTATTCTCAGAATATGATAGTTTCAGTGTGCTTGAAATTGCACATATAATATTCACTCAGGCCATTCAATAACTTCTGACATTAATGTTCTTATTCTGCTTGACCATTGAGACTCCCAAATGTGGAAAGATTTGAACAAGGTCTCAGTAGCTCAGATTCCTGTCCCATATTTGAAATAGCAATTAATGACCTCAAAGTTCACAGTTAATGATGTCTCATTGTTAGGAATTGATTGTAAGCATTTATAATCTTTACACTACTCCCATGCATATTGAGTTCTCAATATTTAATAAAAAAAATTGAGAAATTGTATAATATGTAAAAGTAGAATTCAAATATAAAATACATAATTATAAGTTTGTTCAGTTTCATTTCTGTATAGTGTGATAAAACACCCCACCCAAAGCAACTTAGGGGAGTAAAGGCTTTATTTGGCTTGCAAGTCCAGGTTGCAGTTCTTCACTGAGGGGAAGTCAAGCAGCTTGTCCCATATCAGCCATGCTTGGGAACTAAAGTTAACAAATGATTGCTACTGGTTTCTTGTTTGCTACCTGCTTCCATCTAGCTTTCTCCTGTGTGACATAGGTCAAGACCCCCTGACAAGAGAATGATGCTGCCCATGGTAACACAATGGGTCAGGTCTTCCTACAGTAATTAACAAAATGACAATCCCCCACATATGCATCCACAAGCCAATCTGAACTAGGCAATTCTTCTATAGTGTAGCAGTCCTCAGTTCCTGATCCCAGGTTGTGGCAAGTTGACATTTAAAACTACGCACATACAGACACATCCTATATGGAATTATTAATACCTATAAGCCACTATATATTTATAACATCACTTATTTACACATTATCATACAATGTTCAAGTAGTATGCTTATACTGCTAAAATAAAATTTGGAATTGCTTATTTACTTAATAACTTTAAGTTGATGTTTTTATATGTAGCTCTCCTAATTCATATGCCTCACGCTGAAGCAATTTGTGATGATTAGTTTTAAATGTCACCTTGACTTTACCAGAGGGTACCTAGATATTTGGTCAAGTATTTCCTTGAGTGTTTCTCTTAGAATTTTCTTGGTTGGAGACTAACATTTACATAATAAATGAAGTAGAACAGATACTCTTGATAACATAGGTGCTTTATCTAAAAAGTTTGCATAGCCCTGAGAATTATTCTCATCTGACTGCTTTGGGTGTGAATAAAGGTGTATCCTATCACTAGACTCAAACAGAAACATTTTCTTTCTCCGGGTCTTGAGCCTGCTGGACATACATTACTGACTTTCCTCAGTCTCCAATTTACTAACTTATTCTGTAGACATTGAAACTTGGCAGGCTCTATATTGATGAACCAAATATTTACCCCTTTAAAATATAGTCTCAAATGTAGCTTCTAGAACAGCTCAGTTGCAGACAGCATTTTACATTATGACTCTATTACTGTAGTGATATGGTCACCTTGCCAAACCAGGTTGCCACATTTGAGTGGCTTATTCTTATGTATATATTCCTTCTTCTTCCTATTTTTAGTTCTATTTATAGAATTTTATTCATTTAATACTATGCAGTTCTTGAGTGAACACAGGACCCAGAGGGAAGAAAAAGTATTAATTGATCCCTAATCCTCTTCTTCCCCATGGAAGTCACACAGTCATTGTATAGACAAAAACTGTGCTTTTATTCTACATCAGGCTTCTTGGTCAGTGTGTGGAACCTGCAAAAATGCCTTTAATATGCTGAGCATAAGGTCCCATCAGGAAACAGCACTGGGCAGGGAAGGTCACTCAGAAAGATGCTTAATTTAGCTCAGGGCCTGTCGCATTAATGGCTTCAAGAGGGCATCTATTTTTGAAGGATATATGGTACCAAACAATGAATAATTTTAAATTAGCAATTATCTCAAACGTCCATATGTAATTATTGCAGTTTAATGACAACCTGTCCTACTAGTTCTTAAATGTCAACTGCTTTTTTAAAAAATGGAGGGTCATGAGCATTGTTATGCTAATTACCCACTTTATTTGAAGGGATTTTTCTTATCAAGATTGTTCATTCTTTTCAGAAGAACAATACTAATACAATGTCAAAAGAAGAAGAAAACTAAGCCCTCAAAAGTAAAGAACTAAATAGTTATTCAAAGGATAGTATTAAAAATTACATTAAAAATTGTACCACTAACTCAGATAATCAAAAGTAGATCCCAAGAGATTAAATAGAAGAAAAAGAAAACCACTAATTTGTATTCGAGTAAATATCTTTTATTATTTTCCATAGAACATCTTTAATTTTAGTTTTCTATAGACCAAATGCAATCTTTTCCAAGAATAATTGATTTCATGAACTCTGCATATAAAGATTCCCTTAATAAAGGGTCTTTACCCTTGCGGGTTCACAGTAATCCCCCAAAACAACCCCAGTGGAGGGATAAAGTAGAAGAAGAAGAACAGACAGAATATTAAA